TTCTAAACGAATATATACAAAAAACTCCGGGCAAAGTGGAGATTTTTGAAAACTCCGTTAATGCATTTGTGTGTAGTCAGAGTTAACCGGAGTTTTGTGTTCTCGCACGCCACAGTACCCCCCTAAATTCCTCTGATCACTGAAGCATGGATCATACTACCTTAAAAACTGTTCTCTGTGAGATGCTCGCAGCAGCGAACATCCTCGCTCCACATCAGAGAGCAGCAAAGTGATCGCGGGGACTCACGTTCGAAAACAACTAAACCAGGACTAAACCCGGACTAAACCAGGACTAAACCAGGACTAAACCAGGGCTGAGGACGGGGTCAGTGCTTGTAAACATACGTCTTACTCTGAGTGTCTTCTATGACTGTAAAAGTGCCGTTACCGGCGTCTGCATCAAAGCTCCGCCCACTTCTGTGTTTTTCCCCAACGCAAGACAGGACGTAAGACACGCACATGTTTGGAATGTTACGAATGTGATTGATAACGCAGATGTGTGGATGCAAATTATTTTATAAACGGAGGAGGGGAAATATTTGTATTTAAAAAAACCAGGCATGGCACATGGACATGGCACCACAGTCAAATGACATCTGTGTTTTACTCAGTAATGTTTTACTGACACTTAGGTGACTGCACATGCGCAAACAACCGCACTCAGTGCAGGAAAGCTAAACCACGACAAACTTGTCAGCGAGTTACCACCAATTTTCCGGACTATGCATCCCTGGCCGATTCAATTCACTGCAAGTCATCAGAGTAAACTCGGGTAATGACAAAAAATGTACATAGATAATTGTGTTGTGTTGTGCTATATTGGCTCATGCGGTTTTGCATGTACATAAACATACATTGTAGATATAAAGAATATTTTTTGAAATAAATATATGATTAGCATTTTTGTAGTAGGTAGATCATTTTGACTTGATCCTTTTATAAGTAGCTCGCATGCTGAAAAAGTGTGAGCACCCCTGGTTTAGGGTGAATCAGTGTGTGTTTTTGAGTGCAAATTTAGGACGAACGGATGCAAAATAGCACATGGAATCTGGAGAGATGTGTTCGTAAACATGCACCGTCTCAAACATATAAACAATAGATACATGAATTATTCCTACGGGGGATCAATAAAGTATATCTATCTATCTATCTATATATCTATAAACCAATAGCAAGTTGAACAGTAGACAGAGGAGGTGAAACACACAGTCCTTTGAGTGGTTGATTGTGGATGGTGTGATGATATTGGGGGATATTTTAAACCAGCCACTATTTCCACTGATGAATGCTGATGATGATTGACAGTTGAGGAGAGAAAAGAGGAAGATAAGACCCATTGTTTTGCTGATATTAAGGGGAGGGTTGATCTTTCCACAAATCTAAAGTGTGTGATTGTATTATCAAAATCCAGAGCTGAGCAGAGCAGAGGGTGTTGATGGCTGCTTCAGGTTTGGCTCCATCCAAGTGTGTGTTTTTTAACCTGGAATGTTCCGCAGTTTAGAATTACTGTAGACCATTGCATTGACAGTTACAGGTCACATCTACAGAGAGGCAAGTTTACCAAATGGAAGAACTGAGGAGGCACTAAAAAACCTAATTAAAAAGCTTTATACAACTCTACTGCACTAGATTCATATCAATTATATACTATTTCCATGGCAACAAGCTGGTTGTGGGCTCCATCAGAGAAGTTTGTATTATTTCATTTCTATATAATTTCTATAAAAAAAATATCAGATTTTTTTTTATAGCCATTGTAAGAACCAGGAAGTCACAAACTAGGAATTTGCTTTGGTAAAGGGTGGATCAAAGTTATAAAATTGTAAAACCATTAAGTAGGTCGAACGAAACAAAAGACAAGTTTGCCTTTAGAAACTAGTACTCGTAGAGCGCGTACCTCTGTCAAGAAGAGGATTTCCATTCCTTGTCAAATCAGCAATCTCGATCCCCTCAAAAATCCAACCATTTGCTTCTTTTCCCATTTCCAAGATTTTCGGCAAAATGTATTAAAAATCTGTCTATTACTATTTTTAGCTAGGAGACAGTAGCACAAACAACAAACAAACACTTTTAAGGTGCATTATAGATATGTCTATTTTAATCTAGTGTGTAATGTGTTGTAGTGGTCGAGGAGATAGCAGTAAAAATAATAAGTAGTTGTAGTATAAGAATAGTTGTAAATACATCAAAATAGTTGAAAACAGCCATTTGCTCCAGGTCTCAGTACAGGGAGTATAGTATCAGCAATAATAACAGTACTTGGACCATTTTCGTTTTTTGTGTCCTGGCCGCTCTCGTCATGTCTCAGTCTACATTATAACATGTTTATTTCTCTCTGCTCTGAGTAAACGGTCTCATGTGAAAAGGTCTGCAGTTGTAACCCATGATTCAGACTGCTCCAGAACGGATTGTTAAGATGTGAAGCTCTAATTAGACTCTGTGTCACTGCAACCCCAATTAAAGCGCTAAATGCTCATTGCACACACTTGGATACGTCCACAAAGAAGCACCGGGGATCATTTGCATACACTCGAGCAGCAGTGAAATGTGAGCAGACGTGCACTTTGACAACGTTATCATGATACATATATAACTGTGGCACATTTTCAAGTTTAAAGCAGTTTGTTGGCATTGCTAATTTTCACATGTATTTTTAACAGTGACAGTGGCTCAGTTGGTAGAGCTTTGGGTTTTGAACCTAATAGTTGCCTCCCTGGGTATGACACGTAACCCCACATTGCCTGAAGCCCCCGCTGAAACACAGAGGCTGAGTCTTCCTGTGGACCAGCTGCAGGAGGATCAGTGAGAGCCTGCTGCTATTTGGGATCAATAAAGTTATCTTGATCTAAAGGAATGATTGAATCTGGTCCATACTGGGGTAGTCTTGCATAGTTTTTCCAATGTGGTTTTACTGCAAATCACAAATACAGTCTTGAATCTTGAATTAATGTATGTATTATTAACCCTTTTAACCCTTTCATTAGATCAGCTTGTTCAGGAAGAAAAGTGAAAAAAGAGGGGACCTTCCTCACTCCGGCCAATCAGCTCTAAGTCCAAAGGGTCAAATAGTAAAGCTAAATGTAAAGGTGCACTTTATTAATCCCCGTAGGGCCATTCAATCCACTGCATTTGACCCATCCTGATGCCACTAAGGCTTACGTCAGGAGCAGTGGTCGCCGTAGTACAGCGCCCGGGAACCCGTCTCCAGATGTTGATGCTCGGCTCGGTCAGGACTACCAGAGCTGGAGGATTTAACCTAGTGAGCATGTTTTTAGTGACCTACAGGATTCTTTCAAGAACGCACAATATAACATGCATGCTTTCTATAACACTTACATTTTACAAGATTTTTGGGACAAACTTGAGTTAATTATGAAACAATAAGTTAGGTACCTCAGCTTTAAAAGGGACAGTATGTAATGTACATTCTTGAGGTAGAACCCAGAATCTTCCTGTGACACTTGTGGCTCTTAAACACAGATTACAGATGCAATCCACCCGCTGACGTCTAACTAGAACCCCAGCTGGTCTAAACTTTGTGCACTATGTTTGACTACTATTTTTCTATCCGTTTGTAATGTGTGGTGCAATTTTTTGTGTGATGTTTGTATATTATAAATAGAGCTTCTTTCTGCTCTCTGATTGGTTATTATGCTTGAAAATCGATTGTTGACGTCATGTCTATTGTATTTTTAATTTGAAAAGGCCTATCACATTTTGACATATAATCTGGGGACACATAAAATGTAAATATAATTTAAAATGAAAGTCCTAATTGTGTATGTTGTGCTAGTAAAAATACAGAACATGCAGCTAATATTCTATATCACACATACAACGTGACTTTGTGATTGACAGCTGTTCAGGCATAAACATGTTTAAGAGGCAAAGGATAGAAACACATTCACCCAGACGTTCTTTAAACCCTTTAAGTAATTAAGTTTTGTCCAAAGTACTTAATGGAGCAGAACGCAGCTCACTTCAAAGATCAATATATATGACATTATTTATTGATGCTCAATCCTTCATATTGATTGTTATGAGACACCTTCAGCAGCATCTTGGTATCTGAACATGAAGCTCCCCCTAGTGGTCTTTCTAAAACATGACAACAACGAAAAATCATTCCCTCAACTTTTCTCTATCTCAATATATCAACATTATTATTCAAATCGAGACACACTGATCCTAAACTCATCATTTTTCAGAAAGAATAGATCCAGAACCAGACACCACTTTCTTTTGTGCATAAATTATTCACCATTTCTTTCCTTTCTCGGCCATGACCTCTGCAAAGACGAAAAAATGCAACATTGATCATTGTGAGGTTATTTTATTGTATTCTTATTATCAATCCAGCTGGTCCACCCCTAATAAAAACGATAAAGATATACAAAATCTTTTTATTATTGCCGTCTCTTTAGTTTTGCTTCAGGAACATGCACAGAACAAGCCACATGAGAATCCTTTGCTACAGCACCAAACACATAACATAGAAACAAGCTTATTTGTTGCCATTGGTGAATTTATATATACATTTTTTTGTTTACATAACATTATAAAAGTACTGGTGAGCCCTGAGTAATACTTTGGCACAGTATTATGTAATTGCACGCCATCTTCACAGCCTCTTACACAATACGTGATGTTTTCCCAGCATACGACAATAGTATTTGTTTGGCGCCTTTACTAAGTTTTCTCGCTGAAAGATGAAGCCACGGGACAGAGCAGGTCAGCGTCTCTTCTTCTGTGGACGCAAATAATAATAATAATTATAATAACAGCTCACAGGGCGACAGTAGCTCAGTTGGTAGAGCATTGGCCTTAAGGCCAGAAGGTCGTGGGTTCAATTCCCACCTCTGCACCTTCTCCACCGACTCCCACTGATGACTGCTGTCGTTGTGTCCTTGGGCAAGACACTTAACCCCACTTTGCCCAAAGCCCCCACTGAAAGATCAAGGCTATGCTCACACTCAGAGAGCAGCCGTCCTCCTGTGGACTCACCACCTGCAGAGGGTCAGTGAGGGGCTGGTGCTATGAGACTTGGGTGGCATCTCTGATTGCCACCCCCCTGACCCAGAAATGGATTAAAGGGTAGAAAATGGATGGATGGATGGATAACAGCTCACAATCATTTTAACCACACTGTGTATTCTGGCTGCAAATTCTCACCTCCGCTGTAGTAGAGCACAGCGACACAGGCAGCCAGGCTAAAACAGCTCAGGAAGAATATGGGCCCTACAACAGAAGACAAAAGAGATCGGGCAAAAAGTTGACATTTATTCCTACAGTATGGTCATTTGTTTTTTATAAGCCCTGCCTGATTCACACTTTTTATTTTCATCCAGTCAAACATGAACAAACAAGTCTGAGGATCTCCACTCAGCACAAGTTGAGGGTCCCTCGCACCGGAGCAGAGAGGATTCATGGTCTGAACCAAGCGGACCAGGTGAAGATCCACTGGAGGAATGCTAACTTTTTGAAAAACATCAATGAGGCATTCAGCGTTTTACTTTGGACAAAAGCAGAGAAAATTGTCCGAACGAAGTGGCTACTCCACCTTGTGACCCGTCCTGCTCCACCCAGAGGCTACTCCATCTGTGCTGCTGTGACCTGAGGGGCTGTTGCTTATAGTTAGCTTTTTGGAATTATCAATTTCATTTTTTTATTTTTGCTGCTACTGGAAACTTGTATTACTCCTACGGGGGATAAATAAAGTATCTATATATCTAAAACCCAGAGGAGACAGATCCTTTCAGGTAGTTGCTTCTCGCCTTTGGAAGGAGCTCCCCCGGTCACATACTGTAGGTTTTTACAAGCGAAATGGCCGAAGTGTCCCGGATCGTCGCCACAGTCTGTTGATGATTTAAAGTCCCAACTAAAGACCCATTTGTTCAGACAGTCACTCTCCCCTCACCGTACATTGGCCCATCTGAAGTGTGTTCATGATAACTCTGACTTGTATGTGTATTATTATATCTGTATGTTTTTAAATATGAACAAATAGACAAAGTAATGTTACTTACTTATGTACTAACATGGAACAATGGAGTATTTTTACTTTCACTTCCCACTAACTTCTTAGTCTCTTTACTTGATTTTATATATGTTATGCTTATTATGCTGCTGACTATGTAGCACTTTGAGATTTGGTGTCAAATGTAAAGTGTATTATACATAAAAATTTATTATTATTATTATTATAATTATTATTATGTATTGTTTCCTCAAGCATTTGGTGGATAACTCTTTGAGTCACTAAATCACTACTATTTAGTAAAGGCCTATCATTAAAAAACTTTAGGGTAAAAAATAAACTAATTATTTGTGTTATTAGTGTCCTACATCTTAGAAATTCCAAAAATATTACATTTCACTGTTATTTTGGCACAGTTCAACCATGACCCATGCCCTAGTCACCCACTGACACTGCTCTGACCGCGTGGACAGCCCTGGACCTCAGCCCTGGACCTGATCCACAGACCTGATCCCTGGTCCTGTGCCCTGGTCCTGAGGAATGCAGCACAGAGGAAGCGCCCCGCACACGTGAGTGACACACAAAACCACAGCCCTGAGTGTAATGGGATGTAGATGAATGGAGAGAGGCCACTCTCACGTGTCAGAGGTGAAAAGGTTCAGGAAAACTACACTTTCTTTTGAAGAATATTTATACGATTGTTATTATCATCATTACCTTTTCAACATGAGGAGCAAACAGTGTTTCCATGATATACTGTAATTGTTATTGGGGATGAACCTATTTGTTTAATCAAGGACAAGGCTCAATAATGAAAATATGAGCCAGTTTTCCACCTGCCGTCCCCGGACAGGTTGATGATATACAACAGTAAGACAGCTGAGTGGGGGTCCATAAAACAGTTTTCAACCTTTCACACACACACACACACACACACACACACGGACATGCACACACAGACACACACACTAACAGACACACACACACACACACACACACGGACATGCACACGCAGACACACACACTAACACACACACACACACACACCGACATGCACACATAGACACACACACTAACACACACACACACACACGGTCAGGCATTTGTACATGTGATGATGTCATTAGAAAGAGTGTTCCGAAGGCTAATTGCTTGACACAACAAAGATTGTTTCCAAGACGTGGTTTTAAATCTGGCCCAAATGTTGGAAAAACGGTGGAATATGGATTTCTGTACATAATCTTTTGAATCATATATACTGTACATGACATGATATGCTCTTTGCTCTTTCTCTCACTAAAGGACATCAATGAACTTACCTTTATTATTAAGCACATTGGTTTCACAGTCAACCTCTTTACAGTTCATCCCTTTTGGATCTTCCATTTCTGAAAAGACAGAAAACACAGGTTTTAATTCTCTTTAAGCATCTACTTCTGGGTTTGTGTCATAAATAGACCCAGATACTTTCTCACCTTAAATGTGCTATAGACAATTTAATATTATATAATTTGCATAACATCACATTTGCATTAAATCAGAATCCATGCACCTGGATAAGGACACTCCCTTTCCTAGTTTGCATTTGCAAATGAAAGTTATCTGAACATCTTACATTCAGGGCATACACAATTGGCATTCAGTGTGCAGACTTGCTGTGGGGAATGGGATATGAAATTGCAGTAATAGCATTGGCCACTGGAGGGAGTCCTCACTCTTAGACGAGAGAAAATCACAAAAAATAGACATATTTAATTAGACACTGCTACAATGGCAAGATTATGAGTTTATAGAATGCACTTAAACACTGATTTAAAATATTGAAATGTAACTTTTCTCTCGCTGCAGAAGTTCCACTGCAGTGATAAGCAGCTTCACCTCGGCATCGCACTCTGGAGGGCAGTCTGCAGTACATGTCCTCGGCGTGGATCTGGATCCCTCTGTAAAACTCATGACATGCGTCTTCTCCTTTACAGTGGAGGCTCCGCAGCAGCTCAGCCAATCGCAGCCTCGTCACCACTCGAATGTTCCGGAACTGAGGCCGAGAGGGACATTTAGGACTCTGTTCTACACTCTTCCAACAATATTGTTACAATTAATAGGCTTTACTCATGAAATACATTGTGATAGTTATCTTGTGCTTATTGGGGTGCTGTGTTTTCATTTGTGGTTTTACTGCAAATGGTAGATTTACTGAAGCTAATGTGTATGTATGTGGAAGTATGTGGGAAATATTAATTAATGTTATCAATGAAATCCAATACTATTTTTGAGAGTGTTCTTTTGCTCTAGTTCAAAATAACAGAATAATTGAATTTTAAAGCCTAAAGCCTAAACCACAGCATAAGTCGTCTTGGAGGACTTTACAGAGTTCTCAATTCCTCAACAACAAATCAGAGAATCAAACCATTCGAACTCACAGAAGCTATTGGTGCACTGGATGACCCATGTCCAGTAAGTGTTAGCAGAGCCACTTTTGGGAACTTATCTTTGCATATTGATTCAGAGCCAAACAATAATAAATGGACTTCCGCAGGACACAGCTCACCTGGTGGGCCTCTTTGTCAGACAGAACCTGGGGGTACGTTCTGTTGAGCTGCAGGACCAGTTTATCAAGCAGTGCACTGTCCATCCTCTGGTGTGAGGACAGGAAGTGGGCGTCTGTCCAGAGCTGCTTCATGTAGCCATCTGGGGCGAGTCCAAAAATATCAAACAGTCGCCAAGAGATATTCAAGCAATTGCTGTATTCTTACTGTCGAAAGTACATTGCAATACTGAAACAAACAGTGTGGGGTGTACGAAGGTTCTGTCTCATCTCTGTAGCTACTGCAGTGGTTTGCTCAGTGGGACTTCTTAGTATTTCAATCTACAGAAACTAGTGAAGTACTTTTAGCTGAAGTTTAATGTCCAGGTCTCAAATATGTCATGTTTTGCAGTTACAAGGTTTTTCATTAAACATTTTCCACTTTCCCAAGGTTTTTCTGTATTGATTTGTAAGGCAGTGGCGAATAGTGTCATAATTATGATGTTGTTAATTAGGACAAGATATTCTTGTTTTTGTGTTTTAAAGTAGCAATATGTAAGATTATCATGTCAAGTCATCATTAAATAAAAACTTTTCGTCCCCCACTGCCCCTGGAGGAAACCCTAATGCTGAAGAAATATGTTCCAACATCAGCACGGCTATCATGCAATGTGAAATGTATGGAGACAGAAAAACAACTCCGTAAAATAATTCCTTGTATTCGCATATTGTGGGCTCCATTGTGATATTGTACACAGACATCACAGATTTCAACCTAAAATAGCCTAATTTCTGTGAAAAAAGTGTTTTTATTGACAAAACTTGTCTATTCAGCATATCTGGCAACCTGAGTGAGGGAGAGTGAGAGAGGACTACAGAATATTGACCGTGATTGGAGTACCACTGTAGGCCAGATTTTTACATATTGCTCCTTTAGGTCTTGACTAAAATTATTTTTTAGTTGTAATCAACATTTTTTCTTTGTTGTATTATTTTTGGTAAATAGTTTAATATTACCTCGGATGAGCGGGAGAGAGTGTCTGCCCCAGGACCCAGGGAGATTAAATGGGTGAAAATGGATTAATGGAATATTTCAACAGGCTATAGTTCTGAAATCTTTGACAAAATATGTCTGCAAATATCTCTTTCAGCTCTACTTTTAGCCCTAAGTGCCAGTTTTATCAAAAATGTACTATGAAACAGATCTATTCTTTGTGGGGTCCTGATTCAACAGATACAAGTAGTTCTGCTATACTTTGCCTAAAATGTCTAATTTTAGTCATATCTTTAATCATATGATCACTTTAATTCACTCTGGAAGATATTACATAACAAAATATGTGAGTCTACACCGGATCACACTAATTATAGGCATATAGGAGGATTTTCTACTTCCGGGTGGATCATCAAGACTATTAGTTCTCCCAATTGTCAATCATTCTGGTGATTTGAGCTCGTCAGAAAGGTCCAGAGTTCTGTTCAAAAAGTGGAGAGGGCGGTTCTTTCCTATTTTGGGACAATCCTCCTATTTACCTTTAGAGCAATGACATAAGCTCTTGCACCTGGACCACAGATCCATGACCAGCTCTGATGAACATGAACGTGATGTTTTACGCTGACGCTGCAGTAATCTTTGCAGACGCGACATAGAAACACAGTCTGTTCCAGTTTGATGCAGCAGAGCGACATGAAAGCTGCAGATCTCACCCCCACGTCCCCTCCCTCTCCCCCTCTGCACACACCACAAACCTGCCATAGCAGCCGTCAGACCATGGGTGAAGACGAAGTGCTTTTGTCCAGGGCTGCGGCCGCTCAGACGCCGCGGCTGATCCACTCTCCACACCCAGAGGAACCACGTGGTCATTCCCGATCCATGATTAAACTTTAATTAGGTCTCAGACAGATTAAGAAACACAAGAGTCTGCTGCACTCAGAGGACACACAAGTTCACATATCTTCAACTCAATCTTATTTATTTATTTTTGTGTTCAGTGGCTCATTTTAAAGCTGGGGTACTTAACTCTATCAGACCACGAACACTATGTAAAATCTGTTGTCTCTATCACTGGTATTCACCTGTATATTGGCCTCTGGTACATCTTCAAACCAGCTTTTTCAGACAGAAACGGGAAGCAGAAAGGGCCATATCCTCACAGCTCTCATCCCAAATCGTCAAATAACGAGTGGAGGGTTATGTTTTCTCATTGGATACGAAAGCATGTTGTAGTCTGAACTGTTTACAAATGTTTGATTGACAAGAATATTTCATTTATTAATTAAAGAAACAAAGCTTTAAAGGTATGCATTTAGACATAATTTTCATTTTGACAACACCTTTTAAATTGGAAACAGGGGTGTCCATCTCGTTGGAAGTAAAATTTTAAATACACATGAAACCTGTCATGTTTATTCATTTGATAGTTACAGATGGATGTAACTCTACTCTTTCACCAACAGGGGGTAGCATTCTTCCACTTCTTGGCCAAGGCACACCTTTGCAGCTTTTCAGTCCACAGTAATGAGTTTTTACACAGTGGTACTATTTCCATAGATCTGAATGCCAATAGTCTTGGGCTACACAGATATCACTCGTATATTAGAGTTTTGCTTCCTCGCCGGCTGCCACACCGGGTCAAAGCTGGAAGAATCCACAAGCACCATGTCCGAACACAAACTCTGTCTGGAATATTCAAGAGTTTGACGATGGAGGTTTGAGGAGCAGGGATCTGGAGGTAGAAGTGGTTGGTCGTATTGATATCCAGGAAGAACAGGGAATCTGGAAGTGACTTCATATGAGGAAGAGGGATCATAGCTGCCCTGATGTGGACACCTGCAAAAACAACATGTGACATCACTTAGCGTTGTATTTTAAGTTTTTATAACATTTTATTTTGCCCCGGATGAGCTGGAGGAAGTGTGTGTGCATAGGGAAGTGACCCGGCAACGGATGAAGCAGAAGAAAATGGATGGATTTATTTTTTATGTTTTTTCATACATACATGTGTTCTATTCATCTTCTATTTGAATATACATTTGAAGCCGGCAGATGTGTATACTTAAACATGATACTCTTATCTCTGCAGCACTTTGGAAACTGTGCTATTTAAATAAAGTGGATTGGACTGGATTAACTATTGGACTCAAGTAGATCGCAGAAGTGGCACAAACCAGTCTAAGGTGCTCTCAGGTAAAAGTATAGATACTGGTACAGAAGTATCAACTCTGGGAAAAGTAAATGGTGTAGAAATTCCCATGTAGCATAAAGGTACAAGCTTTTGTTCATGTATTTCAGAGCATTGCCTTTGCACGTTTCATACTGGCAGAGAAAATGTCAAAAAACAAAACATGTAGCTGAATGGGGTAATCTGAAAGTAGACACACGAATAAGCACAATTCATTTATTGTAGGTCTATAGAAGGATTTTCTACTTCTGAGTGGATCATCAAGATTATTGGTCCTCCCAACTGTCAATCATTCTGGTGATATGTGCTCGTCAAATAAGACCAGAGAGTTTTATTCAAAAAGTGGAGAGGGCGGTTCTGTCTTAAAATTTGGGAAAATCCTCACATAAACCTTTAACGTAGAAGCATTGCTAACCACGTACAAATCTGTGTTTTCATGTTTGCAAAGTTCTTTTAAAATACAGTACAAAGTGCAGATATTTGGTTTCAAAATTTACATGTCAGAAAATGGCAGCGTTTTTGTAAAGTACTATTACTAGAAAAAAAAAATACTTTAGCACTGCACTAAACTCAGTAAAATAGTTATTTAGCCACCTCTGTGCAGTGTTTTAAGGGTTTTATTGTCCGAACCTGCATTCTGAGCCGCCATGATGGTTCTTCTGGATCCACTCTTGTTCCATAAAATTGTTGTTATTATTGTTTCTGCCTTTGTTGTTGCATCTCCTGTTCATCTCCTGTTGGTGGCGCTGCTCCTCCCATTGCAGTGGCATTTCAGAGTCTCTGCAATACGAGAACTAGGTTGGATTTAAATGTGCATGTGTGAGTGGTGTCTTGTTTTTCAAGTGCTGTTAATATGATCCAAAAAAATCTATATAAAAAAGCTCTCGTTATGATTCTCAAACCATTAATGGTAAAAAACAAGGAGTAAAACTAAAATTTTCATCGAGGCCTTTGAGAAAAAGGTACAGATTTGTTGTTGACAAAACTCTTGTAAATTCAGATATTATGGTCCTAGCTGGATTCGTCTGCATATCTAGCAACCTGAGTCAGGGAGAGTGGGAGAGGGTGCAGTGCAACTTTTGGCCAGATTATTACATATTGCTCCTTTAGAGACCCAAACATTAGAACATTAAAATAATATATTAAATTTAATCATGCCAGTCCATATCAATTGACTTTTTCTGTAGCGTAAAGATGAGAATAGTAACAGGTTTCCCACTCAGAACTCGTAACTAACCTCTCCATCTCTTTCCTTTTCCTTTTTTCGATGCAGTTGACCAAACAGCAGGTGAGAAAAGCCGTGGACATGAAGCAGATGACGGCGAAACTCACAACAGAGATGAGGAGGGCCAACTGTAATCCATGGAGCTCATTGTAGGACAGGGCTGCAGGCCAGAACAGAGAGGTTAGATGGTTACCATTGATAACTTAAAGGTAAATAAGAGGATTCTCTACTTCTGGGTGTCTTGGTGACCACCAAGACTATTGGTCCTCCTAATTATCAATCATTCTGGTGATACGAGCTCGTCAAATTAGACCAGAGACTCCATATTACCTTAAGAGTCCGACATTTACATATACAGCCATGTACACAGTATGTCTCTGTATGAATCAAGGAGCATCTTGTTTAGTTTATCAATTATTTGAAGAGATACAGAGGGGCGACAGTAGCTCAGTTGGTAGAGCATTGGCCTTTGAGCCTGAAGGTCGTGGGTTCGTGCCCACCATAAGACCTACTTCACGACTCCCACTGATGACTGCTGCTGCTGTGTCCTTGGGCAAGACACTTAACCCCACTTTGCCTGAAGCCTCCACTGAAAGCTCTCAGCTTGTGTGGACTCACCACCTGCAGGAGGATCAGTGAGGGGCTGGTGAACTGGGTGCAGCTCTGACTGCCACCCCCTGACCCAGAAATGGATTAAGGGGAAGAAAATGGATGGATAGATACAGAGATATATAGGCTTAGCTATGTCTGGAAAAGTTATAAAAAGATACCAGTTGTAAGAACAGAAACACCATTTAAAATATCAGCAGATTTGAATAAGGTAAGTAACATTTATTTATACAGCACATTTCACAGACCATGGTGACACAAAATGCTCTACAACAGTTCTTGAGATGAGCATCAACTTCTCAAGAACTCCGTCTGGAGGTGGAATGGATTTCAAGGCTGTGAAGCACTCGCGCTAACCATTGCACCACCCACTTTGGATCAAGATAAACAATAGACGTTATTCTTAAACCTATTTTTATTTAAGTTTAATCCATGCATCCATTTTCTTCCGCTTCATCCGTTGCCGGGTTGTAGGGGCAGCAGTCAGAGCAGAGACGCCCGGACTTCCCCATCCACACACACTTCCTCCAGCTCAACAGGGGGGACAAGTTTAGTTAGTCTAGTTTAAGTATTTACTTTTTAAGAGCATTTGTGTTACGTGGTGGAAAGGAGGAGGACTCAACATTCAGGAATGCAGGAAAAGTAATTATTTAGTGAGTAAAAATAATCAAAAGTCCAAGGTGAAATCACACTACAAAAAAAACTCACGAACCAGGACAACAGACTGACAACGACAGAGACGATGGACCAGCAACAAGGGGAGAAGAGCATAGAGAGACACAGGTACATATAGACACAGGTACATATAGACACAGGTATAGACACAGGTATAGACACAGGTACATATAGACACAGGTACATATCGACACAGATATAGACACAGGTACATATAGACACAGGTATATACACAGAGAGACACAGGTACATATAGACACAGGTACATATAGACACAGGTATAGACACAGGTACATATAGACACAGGTATAGACACAGAGAGACAAAGGTACATATAGACACAGGTACATATAGACACAGAGAGACACAGGTACATATAGACACAGGTACATATAGACACAGAGAGAGACAGGTACATATAGACACAGAGAGACACAGGTACATATAGACACAGGTTCATATAGACACAGAGAGACACAGGTACATATAGACACAGAGAGACACAGGTACATATAGACACAGGTACATATAGACACAGGTACATATAGACACAGAGAGACACAGGTAAATATAGACACAGGTACATATAGACACAGAGAGACACAGGTACATATAGACACAGAGAGACACAGGTACATATAGACACAGGTACATATAGACACAGGTACATATAGACACAGAGAGACACAGGTAAATATAGACACAGGTACATATAGACACAGGGAGACACAAGTACACAAGTACGGGCGGCACGGTGGCTGAGTGGATAGCACTCTCGCCTCTCAGCAAGAAGGTCCTGGGTTCAAATCCTGGTTGGACCAGGGCCTTTCTGAGTGGAGTTTGCATGTTCTCCCCGTGTCTGCGTAGGTTTCCTCCGGGTGCTCTGGTTTCCCCTACCACTAAAAATATGTACAATAGGTCTGACATGTGCCTCCTGTACTGGCACCCCCACTGTAACAATTGTAAACCGCTTTGAGACTCCGATGTGCAGTGAAAAGGTGGTATATAAATTACTTATTTACTTACACACACAGGTACATATAGACACAGAGAGACACAGGTACATATACTGTAGTATAGACACAGAGACACAGGTACATAGACACAGAGAGACACAGGTGAAACACATCAGGGCGGGGCAGACATTCAATACTGGGAAACAAAACAGGAAGTAAAACTAAAACCAAACCACAGAGAAATTATTTCTAAATAAAACCAAAGTCCGTAATAAAATATCCACACCATGACAAGTTGCAATTTATGTCTCATTCCCATTGAGAATTTTGCATAGATATCATATCAAGACTGTCATAATTTACTCCAATTGATATCAGTTTGGCCTAATTCAGGTTTTAAAAAAATCTTTAACACACACACACACACACACACGCACACACACTTGATAATACACTCCCGCTCATACAGCATTAAACATATGTCTTACAAAAACAAGCTTTGTTAACGTTATTAATACAAATCTATATATAGATCTTTGAACGTTGACATCAAGCTGTGACAGTTTGCAGAGAAGAAAAGGTTCATCAGAATAAAATGTACATTCCACGATTCTCATTTAAGAACCAAGATAAAGACCATTTCCGCTCTCTGACCCCAAAACAACTGAATATGCATCGTGTCCGTTTCTTCCGCTCTGCAGCCCCTTTCACCGCTGCACAAACAGGAGCTGAGTAACAGTGAAAAAACCAGTGAACTCCTCAGAGACAGAGAGAAAAACAGCAGATGTCACTGTTTTTGTGACTGCAGCTTTCTCTTCAGGCTGGAACAGAGGTGTGTAAATGCGGCTGTAACAACGCATCGCGACACATCAATCATTGAGATTATTAAAAAAAGAATTCAAGTTTTTTGAACCACACCCATTCAAAGCTGTCGTGAAATCTTCCGTGACTCAGACAGAGCTTCGACTTCTGCAGAATGAAACCACGTCACTGATCTTCAAAAAGATACAAGTTCTTGAGTGGCTTAACTTTAGCTTTGTGTTGGGGGAAAGTATTTATAAGATTTATTGATCTCACAATCTAGCTATTTATGTATTTGTTTGTTTGTCCGAGTCATATTATTACATACAAACAAACTTGAACAAACAGAAAGAGAAGGAAGTCTTACAAATCCTGTCTCTCGTTTTGCTGGTTGCAACGACACTTTCACCTCCACATGATCCGTCACCCCCGTACATCCCCTGTCACCAATCTAGCAAAATCCGTCCTATTCAATAAAAACTCAATTACTGCACAAATTCACAAAACTTGTATTCATTCAAAATCTATAAAACAAGAATCAAAACAAGAACATATAAAATCATAAAGACATTTTTACATTTTATCGTTTGGAATAAGCTATTATGGTCCCAGCTGGATTTGTTTGCCTAAAGAACAGAGAGTAGGGTTGGGTGCAGTACCACTTTTAGCCAGATTTTTACATATTGCTCCTTTAATGGTTATTTTTGTGGGTTTTTTATGTGATGATTTGCGTTTCGTGTTGGGCTGTGTTGGCAAAGCGCTATGAAAATACAGATTTAATTGATTGATTGGTGCTATGTGTGCTGGGTGCAACTCTGACTGCCACCCCCCGACCCAGAAATGGGCTAAGGGGAAGAAAATGGATGGATGGATGATTGATCCATGGTGCACAGGCCCATAGTCTCCTTGTAAGAACAGCAGCATTATCTGAGGTGCAACAAGAAGATTCTCTACTCACGCCTACAGTAGGTCTCTCCCTGCCACATCGTGCTGTTTCCCTCCAGCACACACTTCACACTGTCTCCCATCAGCTTGTGTTTGTCGGGGCAGTGCAGAGCGATCACGGTGCCCACGCTGGTGCCGTTTCCATAGATGACCCGCTGAAAACCCAAGGCCGGCTGAGGCATCAGACTGCACTGGGTCTGCACAAAACCTGACAGACAAAACATACATCGTTTTGCATTTTGTTGTAATCGTAAACTGCTTTCAGACAAGGCTCACAAAACGCGGTAGTGTATGCTTTTTTGTCTGATTCATTCTAAATTCAGACTGTTGGTTTGAAGCTGACACAAGTGCTGGAATTTCTGTACATTGAAATCATGCTGTATCGAAGAGGAAATGTGATAAGTCAGTGAGAAAAAACATAAAAGTGTGGGGCTAGTGGAAACAGCTCAGCTCATTTGAAGGTAAGAAAAACAAGATTATCTCTCTATTCACGGCACGCATCTTTCAAGCTAGACATTTGTAAGGCTTAGACAATCTTAATAGGAGTGTTAAAGTAGACATATTCAAAGTGAAATAGAAAATATGGCTTTTCTCACTCAATTTTAGTTCTTAAGAGTGAGTGAGTGGGTGTCGCTCAGGCTTCACACCAATAAAGTAAGTAACCTTGATTTATTCATAGACCAGAGTCACAAAGTGCTGTACAATTGTGGGCATTTGTCTCCAACTCCACACAGATATGGGAGCGAGGTCATACAGGAGCCAGACCTATTGTACATGTTTTAGTGGTATAGGGTAAACCGGAGCACCCGCAGGAAACCTACGCAGACACAGGGAGAACATGCAAACTCCATTCAGAAAGGACTTGTTCCGACCAGGATTCGAACCCATTGGGCCTTATGGCACTCAGCCACCGTGCCGCCACCAGTTGTATATTTCTCCCTGTATGTGGGTGGATTTTGTATCGTGGTCGTTGGGTCGATTGCAGAGGACACATTTTATACAGGGACAGTAGAGCATTCTGAATCTGATTACCTTCTCAACAACGGCTTATAATAAATTTTACTGGTCTGAAAACATTTGCATTTGACCCAGCTTTCAATGTCACTAGGGCCAGAAGCCTGGGACCTATGGGGAGCGCCATAATTCTTTATTCTCAACCTTTTTGTCCAAGTCATAGTCTCCATGACAAATATATATATATATATTCGACATGTGAAGGCCGGCCTTTTAGATTGATGTTAAAATCTGAAACAGTCTTCCTGAAAATGTCGGACAGCCTTCTATCTCTGACAATGTTCAAATCCATTTCTGTTTAGCTCTGTTCACTCTCTTTACTGTGATTATTTATTTTGTGATTATTATATAATAATAATTATTATTATTATTGTGATATATATATATTTTTTACTTTCCTTGCTTTACAGTCTACAACAGGAGCCAGTATAGCATATGGGACGTCACCTTTTACGCAACAGACCACTCTTTTATCCGCGTGTGCGTGAGAGTGCGCGGGAACCAGCTGTGAAGGTCTGATTAAAGCTGCACATGACTGATGTTGTCCGGGATTCACCTTTTCCGTGCCACAAACGAAATTACAGCCTGCGCCTTAATCGGACTAGTGCATATATGTGTTTTACAAAAATTCCAATGCAAACATATAGGCCCCAGATATGGACGTTTGGCTATGACGCGCCTTCACAGAAACAACAGCAGCCTGGACATTCAATCAAAACTAAAGTGTGGACATATTTGCACACACCTGAGCTGCTGCCGTGGTAGCTGGCGTTCCTGCCTTCCATGTCACCCTGGGCCGTGGGCATTCTGCTGCTGCGCTCCAAACTATAGTCCGAGACTCAAGGCGCGTCTCACTCACCGCTCCTCATCACACCTCAAAAAACCCATGTGACAATATGTGTTAAAACAAAAAATACATAAAGATGTAGTGAATAGAGTGTTGATAAAGGAAAAAAAAGAGCGAAGGAAAGGAGCCCTGTCGCTGTCAGAAATAGGGCTGTGATGAGACTTGCGGTTATAAGCGCTTTATGTGATGCAGGAAGTCGCATCTGTTGCTAAAGGCAGCGTGACATTCAGACCACAACTGTCTCTCTCTGGGCATGAGTATAGAACCGTTTCTCACTTTATAACTCACACACCAGTTTCCGCTAAACGGTGATGTGTATACAAAAAGATTTTGGACAGTGTCAGAGGTGTATTTAAGTAATCACAGAACAAGAAGCCTTCAGTTTGATATAATAAGTATAAACAATGCACTTTATTTGTATTGCACTTTGCATTTATTTTACAAAAACGTTTTATTTTCTGCCAGGACTTATATGTGTTTTATTGGACAAACTTTATTGATCCAAAAAGACATTTGAACAAATTAGCACACAGTTAATACAATAACATCAAACTTATAAGTAGATCTAAAACAGCAAATACATAGATGTTGTCTAAAAGGGCATACCTGTCCTATTCTGAAATGCATACAGATCATGAATAATTGTTTTTAGTAAGAATCATTAGCTTTCTCACACTTCTGTTTTTGAGAATATTTCTGTCATGGTTCAAAGGATGTTGTATACTGCATCTGTGCTGTATAATCACTTTTCAAAACTGAAAACCTGCACAGACAGTAACTCAAGATATTGATGTTTTAGATGTTTAAGTTTAGATTCTGTTATAGAAATATATATACTGAGAGCCTTTCAAATACGACATTAACACACAAACCATCTGTACGTATATTGTAATATGTTATAACCACCTTGTGCTGTCCTGTGCGTGTATGGTGTTGTCTTGTGTTGTTGAATAAGCAAGAAAGGATTGGAATCTTGAAGGTGTCTGCTTCATCCAACCATGCACTTGAATGTTTTTTCTGTTGTTGTTCTGTGAAATATGTGTGGTTTGAAATAAAGAATCAAACAAAGCTCTAGAGAGATCAGAGTAAAAAATGTAAACAGTGTACAGTGTGTACTTAAGCTCTCCATCCATCCATTTTCGTCCCCTTAATCCATCATTTTTCAATAATATAAAAAGGTTCATGTGCAAAATTTGCCATTGGCCCTTGTGTATTTTCTACATGTGTATTTGCTATGTTTCCTTTGACGTGACTTTCTTTGGTACTCAAACAGGAAGTGCCCAGGTCAAGATGTGAGAAGTGAGCTGTGACCACAGACAGCGGGGAAAGTCCTGTTGGTGGCAGAGCTCTACATTCAGGTCTTGTCGTGTCTTGTAGGTCTGGAATGTGTGTTGCATTCATAAATGTGTTAAAATAATGATCAAATACCAAATAGTTGGAGGAACGTTGCTCCAGAATAGACTCATAATAATAAAAGAAAGTTGGGTTGTTGTGTGTTTGGACTCCTGTATTGGCTACATGGATTCACAGGTTTGAATAATTTTGTGTGACATTTATCACTTTTAAACACTTTTTTAAGCACTTGCTAATAGGAATTGTGTAGTGGTAAATCTTGTAACACATTGGTGACATCTGTATAAGTATTAATGTATGTGTCCAAAAAAATTAGCTCGAAAGAACAAATATTACACACTATTGTTGTCTCTTAAACGAGATAATGAAACTTTCTGAATGTGTTACGTATGCTTAAACATGTATAAACGATAAAACATGATCTCTGCATGTTATTCCTCAGATCTACCACCTGCTGTGTTTTTCTTGTTATTTCCATAGCAAACATTGCATGCTACATTACAGAAACCATTCATACTAAGTTTGTTACAGGAGCATGTAGACAGAAGGGGCGGGCGTCAGAAGTCCCCTAGTATTGTTCCCCATTTGGGTCCGTTTGGAAAAAGGAGAAAAGCTACAAAATTTGCCAAATGTCTTCTTCAAATGTCATGGCGTGGCTCACACAGGATTTATAACTTAACGCTTCTAACTCGGTGACATAAAGTATAATATTCTCTGTCATGGTTGAGATTTGCAGATGGGATTATGGGTCCTAGATTTAGTCATCTGCTGATTAAGGTTCGATAATCTCTGTGGACCTTCAGTTGGAAGCATTAAATCAGTGTTCTTGGGACGACAGATGGAGGAGGCCTGAAAGCTCTTTGCGGTAATGTGTCGCACATACTATTTTTACAAAGCATGAAAATAGACACACTCAAAAAAAAAAGGATAACAAAAACCCCGGGATATTAAAATGAATTAAAATGTTAACACATTAGTGAAATCATGCACAGTAATCTACGCACACATAGAAAACATTTGATTATGTTTGCATTTATTCTTTTGGTGATGGGTATTACTCCGTTACCTTTACTTCAGTTAAAGCCACCCTGTGTAATTTTTACTGTTGCTCCATATGAAAAAACATGTTAACTAACAACAACTGTCACCTTTTTAAGAATATTTACCTCCACCATGTGTTTTTTATTGTATTCATTGGCTTAGAATTTAACTTATAAGTGTCAATGAGAGAAGGGGTGCTCTCCGTGTAAAAGCGCCATCTTGGACGGTGGTGGATAAGGAACAAAAAGGATGCGAGAATTGCGTTTTCGTCTTACATGAGCTACTGATATCGTTGCTTTCACCGAGCCCTCACAAGTTGGAAGAAGGAACCACAGTATATAAAAGAACCATGGAGGACCACAGTAATACAAAAGAACCTCCCGAACAACAATGTAAAAATAACACAGTGTACCTTTAAATCGTTTTTTGAATTGACTAAACCGCAGCATGTATTATCTAAGCATCCTATTCCCTGTATCTTGCTCTAACTCTTCAGATATGATTTAGGATTTTTGTTTAATTATATTCTTTGAAAATATAAGATTTTGTTGACTATACAGTCTAGTTTCTCCATGTATAATTTCCCCCCACTCTCACATTTTTATACCACTCATGTATTCACTATAGACAACAACTATGCTCTCACATGAGAACGTGATCCAATTTAGTCATCTCCTACCAATGATTGGGACGGTTCTGAGATTGGACTGCAGGAGGCGCTGCATTGACGTGTCACGTGACCATAAAGATAATCTACCAACGGGGAGGTGCATGGGGATGAAATTAGTTTAGTAACCGCAGAGAATATATAAAATTATCAAGGTAAGTGAACAAACCCTCATGATAATCAATAGCTGATATTTAGGATTATAATGAGGGTTTGTTCACTTACCTTGATGATCTTCTTTGGGATTACCAAACATATTTTCCCCATGCACCACCCTTTGTCATTGTCTCTTATACATTTTGAGATTTTTGCTCATGACCACAGAAACAGATTAAGTTCCCCACTTGTTTACTGCCCTGTGTGTCATGGATGTTGGGAGTGAGTCTGGCTGCTTGTTCCGGACGCTCTTTGTTGCCCTCTTCTGGACAACAGGGGAACAGCAACCTCAACAAATCTATAACGTGCAGTATGTTTAGGTACTATTCTTTGCTACGCCATTCTCCACAGTATTCTTGTGTCAGACCATGAATTACACACAGCTCTATACAAAACAATACATTGACCTACATGCTGGAACTTTTACAAATCAGACCTAAACCTACACCAAGTGGTTTAAATTCATCTTTAAGCATCCTCAGCCACGATCACTATTGCATAAAGAAAGAGGGCGGTCATGGATTCTCCTCGCTCCAGGGGGATACACCAGCAGAGACCGCGCTTTATGACCTTCTTTATGACCAGGTGCAGGTCAAGAAGTGACTGCCACACAGCACCACCAGCAGAAGAAAACTAAAAAACATGCAGGATGTTGTAGACCGCTAGGTATAGGGCTGTCAGTGTGAGCAAAACGAATCATCACACTATTGACATTAGAGCAAACTGAGGTACTCATAATGTACTTGCAGATAACTAACCAACATTGCACACAATAGTTTTCTTAGCGCACATATTTGGCACGGGGATACACATTTTCTCTTTTAATTTGGCGTAATAGTTGGTTGTGTAACAGCAAATGATAGAGAAAGTGATCCAATTTAGTCAACTACTGAACGGACGGTTCTGAGGTTGGACTGTAGGAGGCGCTGCATCGACGTGTCACGTAAAGATATTCTACTGTCAGGGTGGTGCATGGGGAAAGATATATAAGGGGGCGAATATATATATAAGATTATTTATATATTTATATCTGTGCACACACAGTCAGATTTTCTTATACATTTGAAATGTATGCTCATGACCACAGAAACAGATGAAGTTTCCCACTTGTTTACTGCCCTGTAAGAAATGATCCAAATTTTCTCTTTTAATTTGGCGTAATAGTTGGTTTTATAACAGCAACATGATATGCCTTGTCTCTGTTACTGATATTTAGCGTGGAAATTTAGGGAGGGTATTGACAAAAAGATTATTGTTAATTCCTGTACAAGATTCCAATAATACCCCTTTGAGTATTCTTTTTTACAATGGGCTTATATTACAGGTCTATTTATGTTATGGACTTCAGACACCTATCTGAGATAAGAATAGGTGGTATGATTCCTCGACTCAATTACATTCAATTTGGTCCAAAAAAAAACAACAGCAGACATCTCGGAGGACTTTACAAAGTTGTCGAGTCCTCAACAACAGATCGGAGAATCAGTTCGAAAACAGGAAACACAATAATAACCAATGCATATGGGAGTCATTGGTCCTCATGGAGCAATGTGACCAATGTCCATACATGTCAATAAATGTCCATAAATGACCCATCACTGTCACTCACTCATCACTCATCACTGTGTAGACCTTCCTTCATCAACAAGAATAAAAAACCATTGGGAAAAAACACAATCAATTATTGCATTTCACAGCAGACTATGAGCCATGCACGCATCGAAGCCCCTTATCATCAACATCCAGTCACTCTCTCATTCTTCTAGGGGAAACCAAACCCGGACCAAACCTAAGCAGACACGGAAGAATATGCAAACTCCAAAGACGTGGAGGTGGATTCGAACCTGGGACCTTCATCCTGGAGTGTCGCTCTTAAACCTAATCCTATTCCCAGACCAGGAGGCGAGACAAAATAAACTTACTTTTTTATTTGAGTCTTTATTAACAAAAAATATACATTTTTCAAACAATCAACAACAACACGAAATTAAAACTATAAAATACAGTGCACTTAATATAAGTAACAATAGTAACAATAGTAACCAGTAAAAATAATTGACGAAGTTTCACCTAAACTACCAGGGGCGCCATACACTGAGGTCGGTGAAAGCCTCGCACTGACTGTCCGTGTGTTTGTGCTTCGGGTCAGCAGTGAGTGCGTGTCTCCTGAGGCCTGGAACTGAGCCGCGTCTGTTCTGCTCAGATTCAGAAGACGCCCGTGAAGAAGTGAGCTGCTCGCGCACGGAGCTGTCCATGGTCCTAGAGGCCTCCCCGGGCCGCGCACTCAGGCCCCGGTACAGAGCCTGGTCAGAGAGCTGGGACAGACCCTGGGACAGACCCTGGGATAGACCCTGGGACAGAGGCCGGTCAGAGCCGTTATGCCGCTCCGCTGTCAGCAGATAGTGATGGACCTTCGACACACAGCTACGGAAACCGGCTTGGTACTCAGACTCCGGTGTAACGTTTAAAACTGCGGCAACAGAGGCAGGTTAAGTACTTGTGTGCGTAACATATTTATATTGATCAGTGATAAGGGTCCTATACTCACATTTCAGCCTCTTTTGTAACTGCCTCAGATGTCTCACAGTTAGTTCCAAAATATCTGCTTTTTCCAATTTGCGCTTACGAATCTGAAAAATAAACACAACAGTAAACAACCACAATACACAACAAGTGTAACTGATGAACCTGCACGCGTGTTGCTTACAGTGCTGCTGTAGTGGTTCTCCAGGAGAGACTTCAACTGGTCCAGGGACTGGTTGATTCGGGCCCGTCGTTTCTTTTCCATGAGGGGTTTGGAAACCTGGACGAATAACACGTCATTATCAACTTGGTATCTAAAATGGTTCAGAAAAGTTGAAATGAGCACATAAAGATGACACACCTTAGTTGCAGCAGGCATGGTTTTAGGGCTGTCACCGTCTGTTGTGGACACCATTCTGGTACAATCCTTCAGTTTGCTTGGATCATTTGACGGAATGCTGCATCTGACCGCAACCCAATTTATACACCGCCACTTGTTTTACATCTGAATGGGCCACACTCCCCCGCACCCGCACACAAACTGAGCGCGCTTTTACGTCACAGACAACAAAGGTATAATTATTATACAAAATGAGCATGCGCGTGGCTTCTTGTATCACCTATCTACACAGAAAAACATACGTACATATGTTCTTGTCCTGGATACTTCGCTGTATCGAGATTTTGAACGATAGGTGCATTTTTTTAATAGAAATATGTCTCCACTCCATGATGCCTTTCAGTCAGAACAGTAAACCTCAAGATTAAAGAATAACGTCAAAGGATAGAACCCTATAGGGTGATGGTGTTGTTTGTGTTTATCGTGGTCTTTATAAGTTGCAGCTGGTGACAAAGACATTAATTCAGTAATTATTACGTATTCATTGGGTTAGGGTAAGGTAAATACAAGTACAAATGTTAACTGTCAAACTCGACAGAAAAAACATGTGTAAACAATTAAAAACATCACAATACAAAAGTATTCATTATGTAAACAAGTAAGCATTTGATTGCTGTTGCATATCATCACATACAGTATACTTCTGCCAGTGTTTTACACAATAATATTGTCAATTAAAATGGCAACAATGTATCAGGGTTAGGGTTAAAATAATTATAGCAGTATATTGAGTTGGTAACCTGCCTAACCATAACATGAGTTACTCACATTCTCTTCTTAAATATACATATGGTAAGTTCTAGTGAATTGTCCATAATGAGTACAAATAATCATATCCTCTGGCCTCCTTTGCAAACAGGAAGTGTGTGGTGAGTGGAAGCTGGAGCAGCGGCTGGTGCCTCATTGAGGAGTTTCACGCTTGCAGGTCGAAGGCAGCACCGTGGAAATCATCCCTCTTGTACCACAACATTCAGATTTTCTGGTGCTGGAGTAAAATGGCAGCGACCACCTGAAGAAAGTGTTCAACATTCGGAGGCAAAGCTTCACTCTGATCTTTTCTTCACCACCATTTTTTTAACATGTGAGAAATAAAGGCACAAGAGGTTTTTTCAGAGATGTTTGGCATTGGCCTTTTGTGTGCTGGAGGTTTTGTTGTGGTTTGCTGCAGAGGGGCACCGAGGAGAATTGTGGGCCGCCCCTCTGTCCTGCAGCCTGGCCTCCTGATTCTCCACAGTTGTCCCTGAAAAGAGCTGTGGCTGGGAAAGTCCAAAACAATGTGTCTGCTGCATCTGCGCATCTTCACACCACTCACATAATCACTTATGAGAACTGAGAAGTTAGCATTAAAGAAACAAATTATTTATAAGTTCAGAAACTACAGTGGATTAATCCTGTTTAAACGTCATGCTAATTCACAGGTTCCATCACTCCATCTAAGGCGTCACCATAGTAACACAAAGCAATGAGCAAAAACAATCTCCAATTTGGATTATAAAGTTAAGATTAAGTAACAATTATTTTATAAACACGCTAAACATTTGAAACTTTGTGAGTTAAATGTAAAGGTGGGTTAAGGACCGTGATGATCCGTGACATTTAAGGACATTTATTAGAATGTTTGGTGTCTTCCATATGTTTGTTATTATTGCACTTCCTGTGTTGAAACGGTTTGATTCTCTGATCTATTGGAATAAACAACTTTGTAAAGTCCTCCGAGATGATTGCTTTTGAATAGGGCTATTCAAAAATAAGATTGAAATGAATTGAACATTGACTTACTTTTTCTCTTCTGTGTGTGTCTCTATTTTGGTCATAACAACTGTTGCTATGGAGCAGTCTTGGCACTTTCATCCTATACTATTGAGAGTATAGGATGAAACTACATATTTTCTAATAAGTGCGAAAAGGTTTTATTATCAAGACAAAGCCGTAATTGCTGCAGAATTGAAGTAGATACAAACACATTTTTCAGAACGCGTGTAAGATATCCTCAAGTCACATAATTTTAGATTTGGATTCTGTAATACTTCTCATGAGTATTAGAGAACCAGGTCGTCTGTGCATGTGCCCATACGTGCTGCTACTGCTGAGGTATACGCAGACTGTGAAGTGGTGGAATACAACAGTAAATTCTCCCACAGAGTGTATTTCCGAGGTTAAGAGCCCGATACAAAGGAGAGTAAAACAAGGCCGCTGCGTACAGACGTCGTGGTTGAAGAGAGACCACTTTATAGTTGGAGCCATTGATCTTTTCACTTTGGGAGTTTTGTGGCTGCAGACGTGTGGCCATCACTCTGCACTAACACAGTGTTGGAGGCAGTTTACTTTTACGCACCTCAATTAACTCATTTATTTATAGACCTCAATTATCCTTCATCCGTTTGCAAATACAAATTATAGCCTGTAATTATAGTTTCACATAAAGGCGCTTTATCCATTTCACTAATTGGCAGATAAGTCCTACAGTTTCTCTTGACATCGCCACGTCCCCTTTCACTCACATAAACTTGAAACGTCGGTCGCGACAGAAACATCTTCCATCACCACCAACACGTCCTTGTCGTAGCTAAATGCGTAAAATGTACCAACAATCATTCTTCTCGTTCTGATGCCTCTTTCAGAAGCGTTTAATCGATGTGAAATGTGCCCAATGCGCTCCTGGCCGCGCGGCCCTTTGTCCCCGCAGAGCCACATTATGCGCCTTTTCACGCTTCTCTCAAACACTGGACCGTGGAGCGACGATTTCAGCCCAGAGTCAGAGCGTCATGTAGCTTCTTACACACAAGATTTTTCGCTGATTATCCTGTATCATTCCAATTAGCTTCTTTTCGTGTAGAAAGACACTGAATTTAAATGACCGCACCAGGAAACGACCCAACAGGGCCCCGCAGCGCTTCCTTCACTTTTTCTTCAAAGTGAGAGGAATAATAATGGCGCACTGAGACCATGTCTCTCAGTGGGACAGAGCCATTAAATGACAAGTTAATGGTATCTGCTTATAAGACCCAGGATCTTGAGTGACTTTCACCTAAAAGCCTCGGGTCATTCATTAACCCGCAGCATCTTTGTCATGCATGTGCGCGTGCACAAAGCCTCAGTGTCATTAGATGATTGCTGCACTTGTTTACATCAATTAGTGCAGCAATTATTCAATTACGGCAATAAATGGTTTCACCTAAAGAAGCAAATGGACTCATTAGCAAACCAATGGTGAGGGCTAATCAAGAAACCATGAAGGACTAGAGAGGCTAAACTGTCAACCACCGTCACTGCCAGACCTGATGCAGCCTATAACTGTAGACTCATACATTCACACTAAACTGACGGGAGCACACTGCTGTACAACACTCCAGTCTGTCAGGTTTGCAACAGTTGTTGCAGTGAGTTTGTTGAGCATGAAGCATGAGGGATACAAAAAAAGTGCAAATAAAGTAGACCATGTGTAATATGATCCCTCTGGTGTATGTTCACATAGTTTACATCGGTGACAAGTAAATATCTTTCTCTTTTTTAGTTGTACTAAAGTGCTGTTAAGATATGCGCCGGGGCCTGGAGGCTTCTTGAGCGGAGCAAATCGATGTAACGCTTCTATTCAGGCTTCTATGAGGCCGAAGTGGTGTGACCAAAAGCGTATTGTGCACAACAAGGCCGCTGTAAAAGAGGCAGGTACAGGAGCTCTGGAAAATGAAATTACAAATATTGAACCGTGGGTTTCCTGGAACGCCACGCGACGGCCTCGATGCCCAAACTTCAAATAGAAATAGTGTCATGAATTTCTATAGACTGTGCAGGGGTTGTTAAAAGACTTCTCAGTTTGGTTTGCGCCACAATGGGCTGTGTTTGGTTGTGTGCACCAGGGTTAGCGCCTCAAAGGAGCAGAGGTCCACATTAACATCGCTTAGGCTTTTCTCAAGGGCCAAATGAACTGGCTGGAAAGTAACTTTATAACTCGCTGGAGGATGAAGCCTTTGTCCAGCTCTGAACTGAAAGACAGAAGCGACTGACAAAAGGGAGCGCGCTTTGTGTAAGACTAAAGCGCGCAGCCATTGATGCTCCTTGAATTGCAAAACATCTGCCATTTACTCTGAAGTGGATTTAAATGAGAATCAGTTGCAGGTCTTTATGGCACCGTAAACAGCAAGAGACTAATACTAAACATTAAAGCATGGATTATAATGTGAAGCACCGCGGTATTCTTGGCGTTTTAAAAAAAAAATCTTTTTCGCACCAGCTTTCATAATGATTAGCAATCCATCTTACTTTGATTGATTTATGATCACTTTTACGCACAACGTCACACATTCAATTTGTGTTTAAGAAAGATTAACTGAGGTGTTTTTGGTTAAAAAGGAGCGTCTGTGACCATCACGCAGATGGACTTCTACATACTGTTCGTTAGTCAATTTAAGCCACTATTTGTTAATCATCAAACTTGGTTTAAAAACAAAAAAAACAAAAACAGACTGTACTTCAAACCTTTCTTGTTGGTCATCGCCACAAAGGATTTCGTTTCCCATATTTTATCTGACTAAAGTACAATAAAAGCATAGATTGAAGAACATGTGTCGTGTCAATAAATAATTAAGATCAGATATACTATAAACCTTTATTAGTTCCACAATGAGGGAATTACAGGGTACAACAGAGTTAAAAGAGTTGTGCACACGCCAAACAATATCTATTATCTAAGAGAATATATAATGAAATAATAAACAAATCAACTCGGAACCTATAATTGCTCTTTGGTCAAAAATACAGTAAGTCACATGTAGTCAGCAGTATAAGGTTTTGTACATTCTTATATGACCAGAAAATCAATAGAAACGTTTAACATCTTTCATTTCTTAAATTGGATTCATCAAATGTAAATCAAAAATATCTGCCTGAATCACACGTCATGTTTCCTGTTGTCTTTCTAAACAGGCTTCGTGTGTGGCCAGTGTTAGGCTACTGTAAAATCAGTATGAAATCGACAATTTGTAGGTGTCAGCGGCGCGCTCTCAGAGGCACCATATGCCACATTAAGGGCCACCATTTTTCGATTCGTTCCTAGTTTCACGGTCCTTCCCCCTTTTCCACCCGCCAGGACGCTCAAAAGCCACAACAGAATGGCAATAGAAGTGAATAGCCGCCGGCCATACCCCCCGCGGCAGACTTCCCGTTTGACTGCGCGGGTCTCTGCAGTCGCGCGTAAACTTTGACTTTCAAATGGAGGAAAGTGTGGGCCACCTGTCACAGTGATGCGCTTTTACATCTCACTGGAATCATAGCCGCACACGAAAGCAGGCCATGCGGGTGTATGCGTGCTCCGAGTATACGTTACGTTTGAAGGTGCACGTGCATGATTCCATATAGACCCAAAAAACGTCAAAATGATTGTAACATGAAGATATATATAAGGTTTGTGCAACTATTGCTGAAGGAAGAATCATAGAGGCATACATGAATAGGCCCTCTCCAAGTCATACACGAGTGTATACACAATACACACACTATTAGCTGCCCGAATCACACACACAAAATAATAATAATTATGATTGCTGAAGCACAAACACAATATCAAAACAGCCTATCATTCCACAAACCAAGGCTCTTAAAAGTTAGTAATGATTCATTCGTGGGAATTTATACATATACATTTTACACGTTAGTGACAAACAAATAACAAAAAATAAAACATATACAGTATACATGACGGACTAAAAGTTCATTCAATGAGTTTCTTTTATTTTCATGACTATTGACTGTAGATTCACACCAGGCTGTGTAAGGACTGTTTGACCAATAATGAGAGTGTGGGTGCTGGGCCAGATGACCTGGCCTCCAGTCACCAGACCTGAACCCAATCCAGATGGTCTTGGGGTGAGCTGGACCACTGAGTGAAGGCCAACAAGTGCTGAGCATCTCTGGGAACTCCTTCAAGACTGTTGAAGACCATTTCAGGTCACTACCTCCTGAAGCTCATCAAGAGAATGCCAAGAGTGTGTGAAGTGTTAGGATTAGATAGCGATTTGACCTACGGAGGACAACTGCAAGACTCTACAAGGACTCTTCTCTACTCTATTCTACTCTACTCTGCTCTGCCCTGCTCTACTCTACTCTACTCTCTACTCTAAGTGTTTGGATTAGATAGCGATTTGACCTACTCTATAAGGACTCTTCTGATGGTGCATCCATGTTTTGACGATGATGTGCACTGTCTCTGTGTGACACGTACAGTACAGTATGTCTTTTGATGTGTGACGTGACAATGACTATATAAACTGTACTGACTCCATTTTGTCTGAGAGAAAGAAACGATTGAAACCACTGGAACTTGAGAGAAACTTAAATAAACTTCCAGAGTTTGGCGCACCACAATCCGTCTCTGTCTGGGTTATTCCTGACAGAAGCAGTAATCAGAACAAAAGGTGCTACTTTGAGGAACCCAGAATATAAGACATATTTTCACTTGTTTCATACTTCTTCATAGTGTTGATGCTTTCAGTGTGAATCTACAATTTTCATAATCATGAAAATAAAAAAATCTCTTTGAATGAGAAGGTGTGTCCAAACTTTTGGTCTGTACTGTATGTCTAAGTATAACACTGTAAAAACGACAACTCAAAATTGTTCACCTTACTAAGATTTTTGCATTCACTGACAATAAAATTGCAAGTTGGAACTTGAACTGTCTGTTGTGAGCCACTTGAACTCACTTTCAGAAGTTTCCGATGAAAAGTTCACCTTACTTGATAAATTAAGTTCATTTTACTTTGTAAAATCAACTTCTGAAAGTGAGTTCAAGTGGCTCACAAGAGACAGTTCCAACTGGCAATTTTGTAGTCAGTGAATGCAAAAATCTTAGTAAGGTGAACAATTTTGAGTTGTCGTTTTTACAGTGACCGAGATAGAGTGAGGTCAACTTATCTGCACATGCTCATTTCAAATTTGTCATGTCAGCCGGCTGCAACTAATTTGACCAAATAAATAATTGTATTTATTTTTACCAACCGTAATCGACAGGGCCAAGCAAGGTAGCCCTGTATACTTCCTGGGTCAATCATCAATGATGTTCTAATTGTAATCAAAGGTCTCTGAGCCTGAATGCAGTTCTTGACAGAAACTAAGCTCTAATTGAGTTGCTTCTCAATCTGAGAGTTCTAGAGTTCAGGACCTTAAGACTAATATATGACGAATGAGCTTATATTCTTAAGTTCATGGCAATTATAAAACTAAAATGGATTAGTACAAACAATGTGTAAGTTAGTCTAGTGAGTGTTTATAAAGACTGTGTTTAATGAACTTATATTGTTTTGTTTATGGTATTCATAAAACTAATCTTGATTGAGAGAACTAGTTTCCTTAAGAAACATTAGTTTTCCCACACTACAGTGTGTGTGGCACAGTGGCTGAGTGGATAGCACTCTTGCTTCTTGGCAAGAAGGTCCTGGGTTCGAATCCTGGTCTGAACAGGGCCTGTCTGAGTGGAATTTGCATGTTCTCTATGCCTGCATTGGTGTCCTCCGGGTGCTCCAGTTTCCCCTACCCAAGTGACCTTGGTCTGTAAAAGCGCTATCCAAATACACATGAGGGTGAAACAGGATGATTTAATGTGGGGGGTAATTTAAACTCAAAATAGTAAGTTATTGCAGCGTACTGTAATCTGAACTTAAAAGAGTACATTTTGTACTTTTGTTATAAGCTTGAAATAAACAACTAAATTCATTGAATAAATCTGCCATAATGTTGTCAATGAGCTGCAGTGAACTTTGATCATATGTCAGTCCTTTAGCTAAAGTTTGAAAAAAAAGAAAAGAAATAGCTTGATACTAAAATCAAAAACAAAAAAATAAGCCACAAAAATGTAAGAAACCTTTTAAAGGTTATCATTGGAGATTTCATGACACTTTGAACTAACTGTGGATATGGTTCAAATTCAGCGGCACGGTGGCTGAATGGATGGCACTCTGGCTTCTCAGAGTGCCATCTCAGTGGAGTTTGTATATATGTTCTGTGTCTGCGTAGGTTTCCTCCGGGTGCTCCAGATTCCCCTACCACTAATAACATGCACTTTGGGTTTGGCATACACCTCCTGTACGGGCGGACTCACTCCCTTCTCTCCATGGAGTGAGAGACAAATGCCCACAACAATTGTAAAACGCTTTTGTCTGAGAAAGGCCCTGTGTAAATAAAGATTACTGACTTACTCATCTTTTGAAAAATGCACAAGGCAGTATTTTTCCACTACATGTTTTGGTTATCTGAAGGCCAAGCTACTGGCATCTTGGCAAATGGGGATTGGAGGTCTCCATTCCTCCATGCTGTACAATATCACTTGCATTCTGTAACTGAGTTGTTTGTGCTCGTCTACCATCGACAATAAAACATGTCTCCTGTCTATCAACACAATCCCAGACAATTGTATTTTTCTTTAAAACCATCAAACTCGTCGGGGCTCAGTTGGTACAGTAGAGCATTGGACTTTGAGCCTGAAGGTTGCGGGTTCGAGCCCACCATGAAACCTTCTCCACCAACTCCCACTGATGACTGCTGTTGTTGTGTCCTTGGGCAAGACACTTAACCCCACTTTGCCTGAAGACCCCGCTGAAAGATCAATGCTATACTCACACAGATAGAGCAGCCGTCCTCCTGTGGACTCACCACCTGCAGAGGATCAGTGAGGGGCTGGTGCTATGTGACTTGGGTGGCATCACTGACTGCCACCCCCCCAACCCAGAAATGGATTAAGGGGTAGAAAATGAATGGATGGACAACAACCACTGTACCTCCAGCCATGACTCTGTGAAGCCGATCAAGTTTGACAAAGATAAGTTCGCTAACAGGAGGAAGGTGGTGGACTGGCTGGTGTCCTCGTGAAGTGGTAACAACCTGGAGCTGAACGCTCAGGGAACAGAGGAGATGACTGTCGACTTCAGGATGACCGCATGCCTTCTGATTCTAATATTTGTTTTTAATGTTGGTAACACCATATTTAAGTTCACATAGACTACAGAGCACACACACATTTATAAACACTCCGAAACTATTGCTATAGTAGAGTTACAAGTATGAGCAGTATGAGCAAGTGGCTGATGCTTTCATTGGCTCATTGTTTTAGTGTAACTCTGTATTAAACCCTGAAAGTACTGCTGTGTGTTCATCTCTGGGTGGAACAGTATTATGACACATTTGGGGAGAAAATACCATAAAAGGAAAGAATAAAGGCTGGACAGAATGGCTAAAGCACTCAGAGTCTGGAGGTGCTTCCCCCTGTAGAGGATGAAGATGGTGCAGTAGATGATCCAAGTCAGAGTCAGCAGAAGAAGACAAAACGTGATGGATTTAGCTTCGTTGTAGTTCTTTGGGAGCTCTCTTGCCATGTAGGAGAAGAGGAAGCAAAGGAAGCACAGGGTCGCACACAAAGTCAAAGATCCACCAAATGCTGCTATGTTTGTGTCACAAGCAAGAACTATCTGGTCCTGGTACCATACAGTTTCATTATAGAGCTTTGGAGGAAAACATGTATAAGCAATGAGGAGTAACAGTAGCTGTATTATGAAGGCCACTGCGATGACCAGCCATTGTCCGTGATATTTCATCCACCACCTCTGCACGAATGGGTACGATGCTGCTATTTTAAAGATGCTAACTATTTGAAAGGAACGCACAACAAAGCAAGCCAAGCACACTGTGTAGAACAGAACAAATGGAAATATTCTCATGATACAAAAAGACACTTGAGGTCTCCCAAAAAAGAAAAATACACTGATGCTGCAGAGACTGAGGCAGCCCAGAATCAGGAAGCACATGGGTCCACCTGCAGATCTCACCACAGGAGTGTTGTAGTTCAGACCAAAGAGCAGAGCAGTGAGGAGAGAGAGGACATCCAGAATGAGTGTCCCAACTATGATCACTATGGCAGCCTTATCCTTCATGGAGGTAAACTCTATCAGTCTGGGCTGACAGGAGGTACTCGCTGGAGGAGACCATTCTGTGTCCAAACAGGAGGCACAAGAGTAACGGTCCACTGGGGACACAACAGACAAGAAAGGATAATTATACATAATAAAATCACTGTAATCGTCAAAGTTTTCACAGTTTAACAACTCATACTTGTGTGGCCATAAAGTGAGTAAATGCCAAGCATTCGAACAAGTTCTGGTCCTCTCAGGACATGCACCGTGAGGCATCTTCATGAGGAGTTTACAGAAGAAACCTTTGTGTCCTTGGGCAAGACACTTAACGAAATAAATGGATTAAGGGGTATAAAATGGATGGATGAATGGACCTTTGAAACCATTATTAAATCACTCCTGATCAATGAGGCACTACACCACCAGTTAACTTTCCAAATTTGAGCATTTGAAAATGTCTGTGGCATTGGGTATTAGGATCCATCACAAGTATCATTTTAAAATTGTGGTAACACTAACCTGTGGTGTTGATAAAAGTCCCGTTTGGACAAATTACACAGTCAAAGCAGCATCTATGAATCCCAATTTGTTGTCTGAAGTATCCGACAGAGCAGTCCTCTGAGCAGAGTGATGTTGTCACCTGCACAAAATTATCATTTCATTTAAAATATTTTGACTTTTTTATGGTGTCATTAATCTACCTTTGATGGTTTTGATACCAATGTCACTGTACCGTCCCTGGTACAACTAACTTTCAGCTTTTTCCCCACTCCCTCCCATTTAATCAGAGAGCACTTACCTCTCCGTTTGTGTGCCAGGGAATGTTTGAGTCGTTCATGTGAAAATCAATGAATGGGTGAAAATAGTAATGGCCGACTACTTCTGCCGTACTGTTGTTCCAGACAACAATAGTGTAGAATCCAAATTTCGGGTCTGCATTTTCATCAAAATGAATATTCTCATTTAGCAGAGTAAAGTTGGACTTCTTCATCTCTGCCAGAACCTGGACACAGAAACAATTGTGAGCACAGGTTTGCATGTTCTCCCGTTCATTCTAAAATAATATGAGGATCAATCGTGAGACTGCAGTGTGTTGCCCAACCCTCAAGTATTTACTGTTTACAATTTTTATTTTATGCAGGTACAAAGAATTCAATTTAAATGTTATTCAGTTTATTTTTGTATTGCCCTAATTCTCAACGGCAGGTTTTGTTTTGTGTACAGTTGTTTGTGTTCTTAAGTGAATGTTCAGTTATTTCCATATGTCATGAAAAAAAGTCTCTCGGTAGAAATTAAATTTGACGAGCTTGTTGGAGGCAATTTTTACAAAACAAGGCCGAAATAAGGCATGGCATATTTTTCCAAATTGCCTAGAACCCGATTGTTCAGAGATGGCTCATGCTCGATGTGGATGTCCATGATTGCATACTCACCATATAAGGGTAAATGGTCATATTGGAATGGCATCTGCCGCTGTCACAGTGCAGAAGGTTGTGCAAGGCGTGAGCGACCACATACACTGCAGAGTACACCGTGAAAGAGTAGGACGGATCTGCAGTCATTATTTGTTCTGTCCTCAGTCCACTACAGTTACACATCTGGTTACATGCTCTCTCATAACCCTCTTCACAACGTGCTTTTCCAACGTTTAACTTGGAAATAAAATGGTTGAATCCTGGAAGTTTGATCTCTGGCTGTACCACTCCAAAAACTGTTCCAATAGAGTCAATATTTGGTGTTTCTATCAGCTCTTTGTGTAATGCCCATGCGTCTGGCGCTATCCAAACCTTCTTGCTAAGTTTGAGACTCAGCGCTGCTTTGATTGTTGTTGTTGCATCTCTTTTTGTTGAAAACAATATAATCACGTTTATATTCTGAGCGTCTATCTCTTTGATCATTTCAGAGTGGTTGGTCTGCAGGTTCACCTCTCTGGTGTAAGCCAGACATATTTCTGTCTTTTTAATTCTTTTCGAGAATAATTGTCTTCCATCTATGCCATATTCAAGATTACTGTAGAGCAAAGCAACCCAGTGCCATCTGAAGTGAAGCAGGATGGTAACCATGGCTTCGACCATTTGCTGATTTGTAAGAATTGTTCGTACAACTATTGGATATCTGGCTTTTTCTGAGAAGGACGAACTTGAGGTTCCATAAGCGACCTGAAAGATAAAAGTACAGTCTTTAAAAGTATAGTTACGTTTATTATTGTAATGGAAAATTACAATTGGGTAGATTAATAACATACGCAACTCAAAGTATAGATATGAAAATATAGTAAGTAAGTCATGTTTATTTATATAGCGCATTTTACAGACCAAGGTCACCCAAAGTGCTTTGCAATGTTCAGAATATAGAGGGACATTGTGTTCATTCAAGACAAACTGGTGTCGTTTTGAGATAAGAAGCTAGATGTGTATAAACCTGAGGCCACCATAAGGTGATTTATGAAAACCCTGTTGATCTGTGCCACATGCTTTTGTATTGTGCTTAAAGCTAATACACATGTTAGGTTGGTGATTGTTTTGTGTTTATGTCATGTTTAAACTATGGGAAATGTTTTAGTAAATTCCCATATTAGACTGTACGTTGGTTTGGAAACTCACCAGAGGAATAAAGTCCATAGTCAAGAGCGGCGTGATTGTGCGTGACTTTGTGCTGGAGAAGGTTCCTATCACTGATATGACTTTGGGCTCCTGCAGCCCCACAGGCTCCTGAGACCCCTTAGGCTCAGGCCAGGGGTTTACAGACTCGTTGGAGGAGAGGAAGTCGAAGATCTCAGGGAAAACTTTGGTGTCCGAGCACTGGTCATAGATCTCATAACCCAAAGTGACATTGGGAAGGAGCTGTGTGGAGTTGTTGATCTGCTCCACAGCAAATCGCATGATCTGAAACCTCCGATAGTTGGGAATACTGAACTTCTGTCTGTATAGGAGAAGAGCAACTTAAGTAAAGATTTATGAAAGATAACAATTACATTGATACATTCTTCATCTATCAAACAATGGACAGTTGGAACATAGTTTCACTTTGGAACAAGTGTAGAACTTGTCTGTTTTAGGTCTATATATCTTTGTTCTAATTATTATTATTATTATTATTATTTTTTTTCCTGCTCAGCTTCTGGTCTTACAGTATCAGACCACAGAAGTTAAGCAGCACAGGGCCTGATTGGCCCAAGGCTGCATTCCCCTCCTTGCCTGGGAGTCCCAGACAGGGAGTCCTCGTTCTACTATCTGAGTCCTGGATCTATTGGCTGTCCGTCCATAGAAGCAAATTCCTTCTCCAATGGGCTTCCATGAGGATTTTAATTTTTATCCTTAGGTTTTTACTTGCAGATGCAAGAGGGTGTAAGGACAGTGGTGATGATCCAGGAAAGCTAAGGACATTTATGGACATGCCCTCCTTAAGGACAAATGGCTCCATGTTTTTTTAATACTTACAGTTGTATTCATCAATCAGCAATTTAGTAAAGTCCTTTTAGATGGCGATACATTAAAAAAAAAAATGGTTACTACAGATGGAGACCTTGGTCAACACAGGTGCCAAAGGAGGGTGGCTGTAAAGTGTCCAACTGTAAGAGTCTGGTTCATGAATAATTGGTGGTGGTTGGACAGGCCAATGGCACTGATCTGTGCCATCGCCCCCTCCAATGGTAACTGTCTATCTTCCCCGGGGCCTTTGTAGCTCCAGTAGCAGTATACCACCACTGTGTATAGAAAGAATGAACAAATGCTGACATGAAATATCTATCAAAAAGCACTATATCAATAAGCTCTTATGATTATTAGTCTTTGTTAAATTTTAAGAGAAAATTAAGTAATTGCCAGAAAATGTTTTGCTGAAAAATTACAAAACCTTCAAAAAACCTTTAGAACAGGAATGTTCTAAAATAAGTAGTTTATGGGCACATACTGTAGTTTAACAACCAATTGTCTCTGAAATGTATCAGTGGTATTGTATGCATTTTATTTAATCAAATAAAGCATATTTTTCAACTCACCGCGAGCAGTCGATGGCTTCAGGCAAAACTTGATAACCCTCATCGTCCACATCATGAACTTCGAAAAGTCCTCCAACCAGATAATCTCCAGCAAGACTAAACTCAGAACGGGGGACAGTGCACTGAGACCCAGAGGACAGAACATTGTCCATCAGTATCAGCGACACTAGGAGAGAGTTCATGTCTGCAGCTGCTCCAGGGAAGAAATGAACAAAAATAAGTCAATTTTATTTATCAGCATCACCGCAGCAGTGAGCTGTTCTAACAATTTACAAATCACTATGCAAAAGTAGTGCTTCTCGACTGTGACTTCGCTTTGACAAATGAATCTCTTGACTCAGACATGCAAATCTAGCATGGCCTTAAACCAACATGGCAACCAACTGTATACAAAAACAAATAATGTCACTTTAGTCTTGGGGAATGTTATTGATTAATGGCCTATTCAGGATAAGATTTTCTTAGACAGCGGTTGTAAGTAACAGGAAGTAATTTCTCTGCAGTTCCCGAACTTGGTAGTGGACACCGGTAGTAAGATATTTCGTCAAGCCGAAGAAAGATTCTTACCGAGCCTTGATAGATCGTGGGACTCCTGAAGCAGCTATCCAGTACCGGTAGGCCAAGCTTGCCACTGCCCAGGGTGTTCCCGGGCTAGGAGTTGAACAAACAAGGAGCGCTTGTGGCTTTGGGTTTTGGGCCCAAGCGGTCAAGATGAACTTCCTCCGCAGAGTGGCTGGGTGCTACCTTAGAGATAAGGTGGAGCTCAGTCACACGGGAAGAGCTTGGAGTAGAGCCGCTGCTTCTCCTTGTCAAGAAGAGCCAGTTGAGGTCTGGGTATCTGTTCCGGATGCCATCTAGGGGGAGACCCCGGGGAAGACCCAGGACAAATTGGAGGGACTATGTCTCTCAGCTGGCTTGGTAATGCCTTGAGGATCCCCTGGATGAGCTGGAAGAAGTGTGTGTGAATGAGTAAGACTGCTGCCCTGTGATCTTGCAAAGGATAAAGAGGATAAGAAAATGGATGGATGGCTATATTAATGTACACAAGAATAGATATTTTAAATCTATTTAATAAGATGTTCATTTCATTAATAACATGTCACAATGAGTGACAACAGTCACTACATTTAATCATATATTTCATACAAACTGAAAGAAGTTTGTTCTTATACCAAACCTCTGTGATTTGTTTGTGGTAAGTTGCTACTTCCATTTCCAGACAGCCACAATTGTACCACAGTCATTTGAAAGAATGATTTGCCATCAGCGGGTTGTGATAAATGACCGCACCACTATTTGAATCTTGTTGATCCAGAACAAGAAAGGAAACCTGGAGAAGTCAATCACAATGCATTTAAAGTTGGAGTATCTTTCAAACCACTCAACATACGTAATAACATTCATTTAATTAGTTTCTGGACCTAACCAGTTTGGTTAGTTTAGTTTACTTCATTCTTTATTTGAAAGAGACATAACATACAACATAAATCTAAAAGACAGATGTTCTGCACCAGATTATAGATACACAGCTAATTTTCATCTGCACTCCCCTTCCAGCAAAAGTCACATTGTAGTTTCTTTAAGCAGAAAAGTGAAAAATAGAAGAATGGATCATAGCAAAGTTTTTTGCCACAATCTCATTTTTTCCTGGTCTGACACAGCCGTGTGTTGGCCTGAGATTTAACAGGGTAATCCCACTCCTGCCTATCAACCCCATCTCTTAACCATGTGCCAGACATCTCACACTGGAGTAGTTCTCCCTATTTTAGAGCAGAATGATCTCCAACTGCCCTGTTTTTCCTGTCTCACTGTTCTCCTGACCACAGCTGCTGCTTTCCTGAAAGCAATGAGATTCACCAAAGTAAGCATTTTAAAGTTTTATTTTGCTCCTTTACAGAACTTCTACATTCATCTGTCCATGGAAGAAAAACACGGCTCTCTTTACGACAACTTGTTGGGATTGAGGACTCTGCTGTCAAGTCAACTGACATTTCGTGTGCTCAATACAACCTGATTCATCAAAAAGGACTGCTTCTTGCTCACAGAGTAATTGAAACTTCTCCCAATCAGCTCTGTGAAAGCTCTATTCTTTATATTTGAGTTACCTGTACCTTGTCTCCATCTGAACATACTGTAAGACAGGATAATGGTCACTTCCAACAGTTGTGTCTGTTCAGACGGTAAGTAAGTGAGTAGTATTGTTTATTTATAGCGCATTTTACAGATCAAGGTCACCCAAAGCGCTTTACATTGTTCAGAAATCACACAGTAATGCGAGATGCAGAACATACTGGCACATCAAGGGTAGGGGAAACTGGAGCACCTGGAAGAAACCTACACAAGCACAGGGAGAACAAGTAAACTCCACTCAGAAAGGCCCTGTTCCGGCCGGGATTCAAACCCAGAACCTTCTTGCTGAGAAGCGAGAGTGCTATCCACTCAGCCCCTGTGTCGTGCAGTGACTTATTCCTGCAAGCAAGTACATTTGATACAAGGGTCCATAACTGATTCTGTGTCATTGTCAACATACACCTGGTTCCCCAGCTATCATTCAGACACACCAGGCCACACTCATCCATCACTTCCTAGATCACAATGGGCCTCATTCACGAACGGTTCTTACGAACAAATTTGTGCGTAAATCCTACTTACGAAGATTTTACGAAGATTGTGGCATTCATGACATTTTCTCGTAACCAGAATTTCTCTTGGGTAAGTACAAATCCTACGAGTCCTCAGGAGCACTCTTACGCACATTCAGTGCCGACACGTTCGCACGCTGGTGTTATGAAGTTCAATAAAACACAACAAGACAGTGATATGTCCGTCATATTGATGTATGTATTTATTTATTTAATTGTTAATGGTAATTTAGCCTATTTTTTAATTCATTTTGAAATGAAATGTGCCAACGCTTTATCAAACCCCATCCTATTTATAGGGGGCATTTCTTTATCCACGGGCCACAGAACAATGGCATATATACTGCTGCTGCAGGAGGTTGCGGGGTCCGCGCTGAGTCTCTGCGCTGGTCTCTCTCATGGATCTATACGGGTCTGCACTGGTCTCTCCCATGGATCTATACGGGTCTGCACTGGTCTCTCCCATGGATCTATACGGGTCTGCGCTGGTCTCTACCATGGATCTAGACGGGTCTGCACTGGTCTCTCCCATGGATCTAGACGGGTCCGCGCTGGTCTCTCCAGTCTGGTCTATGTGGTCTCTCTTCGGTCCGCGCTCGTCTCTGCGCACCGGTCTCTCCAGTCAAGTCTCTCCAGTCTATGCGGTCTCTCCTGTCCGCGCTGGTTTCTGTGTGCTGGTCACTCCAGTCTCTCCTCGGGTCTACATTGGTCTCAGCGCTGGTCCGCGCTGGATCTCCTCCCATAGGGTCCAAAATGTTTTGAGATTAATCTCAAAACATTTTGAGATTCATTTTTAAATTAATACATAATATATTTTCTAATTAAGCTCATAACATTTTGAGATTAATCTCATCATATTTTTAGATTAATCTTATAATTTTGCTAGTTCGACTTTATTATCATAATATTTCTACTTTTAAATCAACATTTTATAACTTTATTCTCAGTCTGGCAAAAGAAGAAAAAAGGGTGACTCTTTTGCTCCGTGTAACTCTTTGCTTTAGGTCTGTTGCTGTTTCCTCTGGCGTCTGCACACGGCCCTGCAGTCCCTTATATGGGCATTAATGGGCGGTTACCTATGCTAAGTACCTATGCTAATGAAGGACCCGGCACGCGCGCTCCACTTACGAGGAGTTGGCATTCATCAATCTGAGAGAACAGCTGCAAACAATTCAGCGGCTTACGAGCGCGTTGATGAATCCCACGTAGGGTCTTCTTAGAAATCTACTGAAGAACGACTTGAGAAGAAATTTAAGAAGTTTCTTACGAAGTTATTCGTGAATGAGGCCCAATGCTATTTGGATCAGTACGTAAACCACCCAACACTGTACTGTGGGCATTAACATCCCACCCCAAATAGCTTTCTGATGGTTATATCCTTCTATTCTAACCTTGCACATGGATTATAGGAATTAATAAAAACAATAGACTCTTTTTCATGCCAAAGATGAATTCTCTAGGTCACTGCCTTTACCCAATACCCTACATGGAATACCTTGTTTCACAAAGGTTACACGCCCACCTCCTCCCGCACGATCCCTGTCCTTTCAGATTACATCTGGTTTAACACTGAGCTCTTTAATGAAATGCCTAAACTCCTGCTCATTAGCCAGCAGACTCCTCCCATTCCATTGAAGAATGAAAACCATGATTAAGACAAACATGACATTTCTTGTCTTGACTGATGATTGAGGTTGTCCCTTACTTCTTCCCATGTCAGTCCTTCTAACCCCAAGTGATTTACAGCAGCTTAAAACAATTAGCTGAAGCTTCTCATGTTTGGATTTTACATCTCTCGTGGCGTTTATTACTCCAGCAATAAAAGTAACTAATGCCAGCTTATCAATAACAATTCCATTTGCATTTGGCAAGGCCTTGGAGATCTTTGGTACCTAAGAGCTACCTGTCCAGGATGAGCCACTCTCTGTACACTTTCTCTTGTTATGCTAACTGCTTCAGCATAAGAAATCCTTTGTTCCATTCTTACTTTCTGAATGTTACTTTCTTGTTTATTTTTTTTCACTTCCTGCCTACGCAACACTGTGAACACCACCACAACTACAGCACTTTGGTTTGATACCTTCTCTATATTTTCCATAATCACGCTATATATCCCCACCAAACAAACACCTCTTATTTTTTCCTAACAGTTCTTTGCCAAGTGACCAAATCTCTGACAGTTAAAGCACCCCAGTGGTTTTGGGATATAAGCCCAAAACTAACTTACCTGAGAAACACCTTCTTGGGCAGATTTTCTTCCTCAAACTGAATGAGGATACTCTCACTATCCACCTTTTTGCTCTGTCTCTTGTGGCCTTTATTCTGTCACCACTAATCACTTCCCACCTCCTTGTTTTTCACCCACTCGCCCAACATTGTCCACTTTAAGCTTTCCCAGCAGCTTTATTTTCAAAGCTGTATCACCCTGCTCTCCATTCGCACATTGTACAAGAACGTTACCATCAGAAAGCACCCTAGCATAGGTAATGTCACCTACTTTGCCGCTTAGTTTAGCTGTCAAGACAAACAGGAAAAGTTTC